GAGAGAGAGAGAGAGAGAGAGACAGAGAGAAATCTAGTTGAAGATTCAAGACTGTGGGCCTGGTAAGTCCACAGTTTGCAGGGCAGGCTGGCAGATGGGAGACCCTGGGAAGCACTGAGGTTACAGCTCTAGTCCAAAGGTGGTCTGGAGGCAGGATTTCCCCTTCCTCATGGCCCCCAGTGTGTTTTCTCTTACGGCCTTCACCTGGTTGGATGAGACCCACCCACAGTGATGTGTTGAGTCATTCAAGGACCATTTTCTGATTTTAAAAAGCTTTAAATGTTTTTAATAAGGACTTTTAGCTGTTTAACAAGATTGAGCCAGCACCGTGGAGTCCAACAGCTGCATCATCTAGGGGGTGGTCTGCTTTACTCAGCATAGTGACTCAAATGTTAATCTCATTCTAAAAAATACCTTCACAGTGACATCCAAAATAACATTTGACCCAATACCTGGGTACTGTGGCCTAGCCACGTTGACACGTAAAATTATCCATCATAGATGGTGATCGTTGTAATAAAACAACCACATCGTCCACACTTCCTGGGGCCTGAGCACTTCGCATGCGCTACTTCATTCTCTGCTCATGGGAACCTTTCTGGGGAGGTTGTCCCGGACATCCTCAAGTACATACGTGACCAGATGCTGGGTCTCCATGGCAACAACACGGTCTCACCTCCGTTCAAACCGTGCTTTCCTTCCCCCGCAGGATGTACACCTTCAGTCTAGCCACGGACCTGAACTCCAGAAAGGACAGTGAAGCCAGCAGCAGATGCAGTGGGGAATTTCTTCCACAAACGGCAAGGAGTCTTAGCAGCTTACAGGCCTTGCAGGTAATAAAACATTCCCTTTTTTCTTTTTAGTAAACTAAGCAAAACCACACTTTGTGTTAACTTCATGGTGGATGCAGCTTCGTGGGTGTAGCTTCTGTTCCATAGACATATCCTCCCTGCTGCCCTAGAGCACAGACCCAGGTGTAGGTCAGCAAGGGGGCCTCCCACCGGTGCTGAGGTGCCAGGGGCTCCTGCCTTGGTCTGTCTGCTCTGGGCAGACAGGGAGCCACCCCTCCATAGCAGAGTGCCCCACCTTCGAGCTCCTCAAGGCAGCTTCAGTCATGGCACCAGGACACGGGGCACAGAAGAGGCAGGGACACAGCACTGCCCAGAATCCCGAGTTCTCACCTCATTCCCTCATTCATGAGCCAAGCGGCCCCCAAGACGTCACCTGCCCCGATGCCTTGGCCCCTCATCTTTTGAGGCAAAACTCTGCATAACCTGGGGGGTCAGCAGACTCAGGCCAGGGTCCAGGACACAGCAGGGCACCCCGAGCCGGCCACCCTCATGGGGCACATGCAGGAGTGCAGGCGCCAGGCAGGGACACCAAGGAGCAGGCAGCCCCTCCCTGAAGGCAAACAAGTGACACCGCATCCCTGATCCCTGAAGATCTGAAGCTTCACTTTCCTTACAGAGGAGCCCTCAAGAAGGGGCTGCACCTGCTGCTGGCCTTTGTCCGGTTGCCACAGTGGTGGAAATGCCTCTCTGTCCTGTTGTTCCCAAATTCGCCCGCCTGTGCCCTGCCACGTGCTGCGCACGTTACTTTAGGATCTCTCATCCCTGCTACCCAGTGCCTATCTTTCCTTGTTGTTCCCAAATACGCCCGCCTGTGCCCTGCCATGTGCCGCACACGTTACTTTAGGATCTCTCATCCCTGCTATCCCCAGTTGACATGGGAGGTGCTATTCCTGCCCCCTACCCATTTTACAGATCTGAAAACTGGGGCTCATGGAGGCTAGGAAGCTTGTCGGAGAGCACACAGACTCCTAACCACCCTCCCATCAGATTGTTGGCAGGATTACATGAGATGGGCCATCCAGTGCCCACCACGGCCAGGTCCCTGGTGCGGAGAGACTGTTGTGCCCAGAGGGTGGGGGCGCAGGAGCCTGGCTTATTCCCTAGTCCCCAGGGCCCAGCCTGCTGCCTGGTCCATAAATCTCCAGAACAACCACAGGAAGACGCTACCGGGACTTGTCACGGGCTAACATTAAGGTCAACGCTCACCCTCTGTTACGGATTGAATTGTGTGCCTCCGAAATGCCTTTCTCGAAGTGCTTACCCCCAGTCCACTCAATGTGATTGTATTTGTAGACAAGGCCTTTAAAGAGGTATTTAAGGTTAAATGAGGCAACACAGATGATGCAATCTGATCCAATCTGACCACTGCTCTTATAAGAAGAAGGAATGAGGAAACAGACACACACAGAGGAATGATCCTGTGAGGACACAGGGAGGGGACGCCACCTGCAAGCCCCGGAGAGAGTCCTCAAAAGGAATCAGCCCTGGCAACGCCGTCATGTCTGACTTCCAGCCTCCAGGACTGTGGCAGAGAAAACTCCTACTGTGGAAGCTAAACAGTCAACCCACACGCAGCGTCCCTGTCGCCATTGGCGCCTCCTGGCAGCTGGTGCAAATCAGGCCAAAGCTAAGTGGCCTTGGCAGGTCTTTGCTGCCTTGGTGGCTAGGTGAGGAGGCCTTTTCTTGAGAAATCAAGAATGTGTCTCTGAAGCTGGGTGTATGTGAAGCTGGGTGTATGTGAAGCTGGGTGTATGTGAAGCTGGGTGTATGTGAAGCTGGGTATATGTGAAATGGCGATCAGCGTTCACCATGCGAGAAAGGCCCAGACTTGGGAGAGCCAAAACTCCCCAGGGCTGTGGCCTACTTTCTGGATTGAAGGAGGGGGAGAGCCTGGAATGGATGTCTCCACTCGTAGCTCAGCCTGTGTCTAAACCGTGCTTTCAATGGCTGAAAACAGAACATGCGTCTGCCTGTGAACTGGCCCCCCTCACATGGTCTTCTCTATAGGGATTTCATCCCTTCCCTATAATAAGAAAAGACAACTGGCCGCAGGTCTGGTAGAACGCACCTGTGGGAGGCAGAATCATGGCCCCAGAGATGATGCCCTAAGCCCGGGAACCTGCGCATGTGACCTTATTAGGAAAGAGAGCTTCTGCAGATGGGATTGAGTGGAGGGTCTTGAAATGGGGAAATGATCCCGGGTTATCTAGGAGGGCCCTGAACCCCATCACGAGTGTGCTGATGAGAGAAAAGCAGAGGGAATCTGATACAGCAGCAGAGAAGGCCATGCAGCCACAGAGGCAGAGACTGGAGCAAAGCAGCCACAAGCCAAGGAATGCCTGGGGCCACCAGGAGCTGGAAGAGGCAAAGAATAAATTCTCCCCTAGAACCTCAGAGGGAGCACGGCCCTGCCAACACCCTGACTTTGGACTTCCAGCCTCTAGAGCTATGAGAGAATAAATGTCTGTTGCTTTGCACCACCCAGCCTGTTACGGCAGCCCCAGGACACCAATGCAGTACCTTCCATGTAGAGAACGTATGCAGCCCTGCCTCATTCCACAGGTCCCAGGGGTCAGTCCATTCCACTCCCCACAGGCCTTTCTTTTGCTTTATCATCATATTCCTGTGGCAAAGCGCCACAGAAGAGCATTTTAAATGCTCTGAGCTCTTCCAGGAAGAAAATACCCCAAATCCAAAACTTCGGGGACTTTGTTACCGGGCAGAATGAGGTTCCAAGCACATGCGTGCTTTGCAACCTACTTGCAGATCAACTCTCTACAGGATAATGGGCTAGTATGTTTTAATATTCATTCTGGGATGGGGCAGTCGGTGCTGCCTCTTGGTGTCAGCGTAGGCAACCTCTGCATAGCCACACTTCACAATTGCAAGACAGCGAGACAAACCTTCCCCTGAAGCTCTTCCCCAGATGAGTGTTTCTATCCTGAAACACACATCTGAAGTTCTCCAATAAGGGAAAACAATACTATTCACTTGGTCTCACCGTCTATCCACTTTGAAGACTCGGCCCTGTGACCCTTAAGAAAGTGTTTGCATGGCAACTGCAAACATTCTCGCCAGTTCACCAATCCCATAGTTTATGCACCTACCAAATGTAGTCAGGGCCATCAAGAACCGTCTGGCTCTGATAAATTTCAGCAGCTGGAAATTCTGCATTGTCCAGGCCAGTGTGGACTTCACAAGGCATCCACAAGATCTGGCAGGAGCTGCCTGTTGTGCTGACCCCAAGAACGCTTACAAGACAGGTTAAATTGGCCCCCACCCTGCTTTCTGGTGTCCTTTCATTCCCAGTAGTTTCCAATCACTTCCCAAGGTGCAGGGACACCACTGGGGACCACTCTTGCCAGAGCCCATGGCCAGTTAGCGCAGACCCTCGAGACTGGATCACTGTTCACAGAAGCAAGTCCAGACAGGAATGATCAGCTGCACTGGCCAGGTGGAAAATGAGTCCCTTCCTCCCCGAGGCTGTTTGGATGTTAAAGGCATTTGCGTTTTCCTCTCTAGGATTTGGGGGGAATCAGGACGATGCTGGGGCTGGTGTATGAGGGTTTACGCAGACAAGGCTCACCTCTCCTCACCTCTCTTCTTTACCTGCTCAGTAGGAAAACACACACAAGAGCCGCCCTGTCATTTTAGCCTAGAGAGAGCTGTGTGGCCAAGAGGGAGCAGGGCAGGGATAGCGACTGTCTGAGCTGCCTCCTGCCCAGGGGTCCTCCCTGCCCTGTCCCTCCCTGGTTGCCTCGGCTCCAGGCAGGACTTGGTCCCCAGAAGGCCTCGCAGCCCACCTCCCGTGGCAGGCCCTGTGCACTCTGCCCCCACCGTCTCTGTCAATGACTCATCTTTCCATGTTCATCTCTTGGCCCAGGAAGACCTGCAGCTCCCTAAAGCAGGGATGCTGTGGACTGCAGCTTCATGTCCCAGCATGAGACACGCTCCCTCCTGTGGTGCCATGTCACAGGGAGGCTGAGGCACAAGTCCTGGGTGCCAGAGGGCAGGACCGCTGGGCCTGTGTTGCTGCAGGGGTCCCCACCTCTTGCTCTGAAATGGACCCCCCTGGATAGCCTGGGCCTGGCTCTGGGGCTGGGAATGTAGGTGTGGGGCCAATGTCAGCTGGCACAATAGTGCCCTCCAGGGAAGCAGCTGAGACTGGTGTCTCCCTCCAGGGTCCTGGTGCAGGGCTTACGCTCCACGCAGCTGTCCTGGTGGCCTCTAGCTGGCTTGGCCCCTGTAACTCTGCTCTCTGCTCCCGGGGGACCATCCTCAGCTCTCATTCACTCTCTCCATCTCATTTGCAGTGGGTTCCTCTCAAGGCTAGCACTTTCACTTGATCAGCCCGGCACAGCATGGGGAGAAGGGTGACCCAGCACCCCCTGAGGGCAGAGCCCCCCAACACCATCCCACACAGAGGAGGCCCCTCCCAAAGGATAGCCGGCCTCCCTGCCCCAAGCATGACCCTTGGGCTACTTCCCCAAAGCACAAGCCTCCCAGAAACAGGGCGGGCACGAGCCCTGTGACTGGGAGGCTCCAAGGCCATCCCGGGGCTGCCTGAGGCCAGGGAAGAAGGTGCCAGAGAGCTGCTGTCCCCGGCTCGAAGCTGCTGGCCACCACCAAAGCCAGTCTCATGCCAAGAAGAAATAAATAAACTGTAAAATACTGTTTTCCTCTAGCATTCAGCCACACAGAGAATGACCAGCTATGGGAAAACAGCAAGGGAATGGATGAGGGCTTCTCCACTCAGTGTTCAGAAGCAGAACTCACACCTGGAAGCCATAAAAGGACGGCCCCTCAACATGCCAACACCAGGGCAGTCCTGCAGGGCTTCTCAGAAGAAGTGTGCCAGCAAGAGAGGAGACTAGATATACAGATAGATAATCTATATTATAACAGTACATATTATAATATAGATAGGGATAATGTCCTAAGACGTCTCTATGGGAATGATAAAGACTTAGAAAAGACAGAAAAGTAGAAAAACAGATGTGTCATGGTAGGGGCCAATCCTGTCTCTTTTCATTTCCTTGATGTTAGAATGCCCAGGAAATAAAACGTCAGAAGAAATTGAAGAGATTGCCAATTTCACATCCTCTTTCATTCTAATACTTTGGGCAAAATGGGCTAAGCTATTGACTAACGAAGGAAGAGATTCCCTCCCAGTTGCTGGGTGACTGGGAGAGCTGCTGTAGGTGCAAGTCCAGTGAGTTGAGTGTTAAACTGTGTGTGTCTTGCTTCCTGCCCAGGCCACCGTTGCAAGGAAGAGCGTGCTGGTGGTTCGCCACGGGGAGAGAGTGGATCAGATCTTCGGGAAGTCGTGGCTGCAGCAATGCTCCACTCCTGACGGTAGGTCATGCTCAGGCAGATCTACGGACAGAAACGCTATAGATCTGACCAATGAGATCTCCTTCTCAATGACCTTACATGGCACCAGATCCCCCGAGGCACCATTCTGTAGAATGACCATGGGTAGACGTATATGTGGAAAACGTGCCTGCTACATTTTCCTCCAGGGGTGTTCCATGTATGCATCTGAGTGTGTGTGTTGCCTGTAAGAATCTTCCATCAACTTCTCTGTGGATGATGGAGGAATGGTTCTCAATAGGAAGCAGATCTGCTAGTGTGAATGCTTGGACAGGTCTTTTCATCCCAGCAGCACATATATAGCATTTCGTTAGTGAATGCACCCCGACCTGTGGTCTCTGACCCTGCCGCTTCTGGCACACGCTGTACCTCTCGGTCTCATCTCTGAACCTCTCCAAACTAAACTTGACTGCTGTAATTTTTGGCTATGCTGCTTAACAGATGGACGTATTCTTGAACATGCCTCCAGCGCACCCCAGCTTTGCTCCTTTGAATGCCAGGAAGTAAGAACAGTGCTTATAAATACACATACCTACAAGCCAACCTCTGTACTTACGATCAATGTCCACATCAGTGCTCATCTCCTAATAGGAAGCCTATAGTGTCACAATTTCTAAGCCATGACCCATTACATAAATTAAGGCATTGAACATAGTGACAGAACCAATTCACAGTTGCTAGGTTAGCTGAACCCTTTCAGGATCCCCCTCCAGAAGCCCAGCAGACCCAAGAAAGTGGGAAATGAGTAGGGAAAACCATTGGCAGATGACAACCATACACTAGAAAAGATTCTGAGCACATAGCATCATGATCAAACATATTTCCAAGAACTCACAGAGCTAATAATATGGTCACCTCTATAAAACAAGGTCAAGTAAAGATACAAGAGCTTAAAGAAGCAACAATAAGACAATAGGCGGCTATCAGGATGCATTAACAAACATATAAGAAACTTCCTTGGAATAAAACACTTTTTTTAGCTATTGAATTACTGAAGCTATAGATGGAACTGACACACCATGTCCATGGTGGGGAAAATCAATACAAAACAATCAACACCAAAAATACTTACTGGACTTCATAGAAAAAGAAAAAATATTTGGTCATCTGGACAAAAGATCAAGTCACTTATAAGGGAAAATATTTTAAAGGCACTGGAAATCCCCAACTGAAAGGAAACTCCTGGCGGATCTTTTCCCAAGGTAGAGCGGCCCTTGATAAAGTAAAAAATGACATCTAGTTTGTCTGAGTTTTGTACATCACAAGGTTTAATAAATCACAATGAGGTATAGCCACATCCTCCTCCAAGGTGACCAACCTCAGGGGGCCCCTCACCTCACCCCATATTCCACACAGACTCTGCTCCCATCGGGACCTGACCTTGGCCCACATCCTTGTCATCTCCTGAGCTCTGCCCTCTGCCTCCAGAGTGATCACAACTACAGTGTCGATGACAGCAAAGTACCTAAATGGAGTGTGTTGACATTTTGGTGGGGATCACAGATGCCTTTGAGAATACAACAAAATTGATGGACTTTCTCTGTGATTTTAAAACTACCTTTCCCAACAGCTAATGCTGGCGTTGAATAAACACCTCTAATTTCAAACAAGAGTCTCTGCCCGTGGAAATCCCAGGGAGGGAGTCTTCAGAAAACTCCTACATGGAACCTAAAACATAGGCATGAAAAATAGCCATTGTGCCCCACTGACCCCTGCTGCCTCCCACTGCGCCCCACCCCCACTCTGGGTTCGTGCAAGGCAGCGGGCCAGGATGAAAGGGCCTGGCATATTCCGGGGTGCAAAGGGCAGGGGCTGCTATGTATGGCAGAGCAGGTCTCAGGAAGGTCAGTGTGGCTGCTGGAACCTACTAGTAGCCAGGAGGCTTGGGGTCCCTTTGGAGAATGTGAAGGCAAACCAGAGTGCACTGGAGGGTGCAGTGTGTCGTGGTGCCCTGTGTGAGGATAATCAGTCACCCTGACATGAGACCAACCCCCCGACTTGTTGGCCACTCCCTCTCGCACCAGATGCTGGGGTATGGGTGTTACCTCACTGGCTCCTCACAACTGCTATTCTTTCCCTGTTTTTTACTGATAAGAGAGATGAAATCATTTGCTTCTGGTTGCACAGTGAGGAGATGGCGATGCCAGGATTTGCCACCAGACTGTCAGATCTTAGAACTCAAGGTCAAACTCCACGTGAACCCTGACACTAGGCAACCTCTGGTGGGAGAGAGTCCCAGTGAGCCCACCTGGCTTCCGGCCTGGCTTCAAGCAATTGACTAAAGAATGCACAACACAGGCATCTCCAGTTCAAGCACTCTGTCCCCTGAGCAAGAAGGATACGTTTAAAGCTAGGGGGAAGGATCATTGATGGCAACTTCAGATACTTACTGAGTTATGCTAAACCAGTCATGGAGATACTTTATCAGGTTCTTTATCAGGAAAATGTAGGAGTGAATCTTCGTGGGGCATTTGGGGAGGACAAAGAGGGTTGCATAGTTCCCGGGGCTGAAACTTAAGTTTTCTGCGTTTGAGAAAATGTTGTGTGCACAGCCGAGCAGCACTTTCTTCTCAAATTGAAGCCGCGTTGCAGAGCATATTCAGAAGCAACACAGTTGACAATAACTTCAATAATAACCTTGCTGTTAGAGTGGGTCTTGGTCTTGGGGGTTTTGTGGAACAAATCTGTACTAACTTGATGAAACTGAACATCTGATGCTTCTTTATACTTCAGGGAAATACTACAGGCCAGACCTGAACTTCCCCTGTAGTCTGCCCAGACGGAGTCGTGGGATCAAAGACTTTGAAAACGATCCCCCATTATCATCCTGTGGCATTTTCCAGTCCAGAATTGCAGGTATGTTTGAGGGCTGTATAGTAGGAAAAGTAACAATAACAGCAACAATGATTACCCAGCCTGAGCCCTAGTTACACACCCTTTGATACAGTGTTAGCTTTGTCTCCAGTCTGTTGAGGAGGCTGGGGCACAGAGAGGTTAAGCAACTTGCCCAAGGTCACACAGCAAGAAAGGGGCAGTGCAGAGGTTTGATCTAGGGATGGATGATTCAGGAAGTTGGGAGGAATGAAAGACAGGCGTAGAGAGAACGAGAGAGGGGAGGAAAAATCAACAACCACTGTATGCACCAAGGAGCTCACTTTACAATGGAAAACCACATCCTCTCATTGGTTTTATTTCCAAATCTGTCATTTTGGGCTTCTGTTTCATGTCTGGCGGTTCTGCTTCTACGTAACTGAGGTTTTTTAAACAGAAGAGACCACTGAGTTCATCAAGTCTTCATTTCCTAAATTCAGAAAATGGAATCCAGAGAAGCAAGTTACCCCAATGGTTAATTGTAGAGACCCCCATGGCCCACTCTCCCGGGCCCCCACCCAGTGGTGTGCTCAGAAATGTTTAGCCACCTGCTCTGGGCAGGGTGGGAAGCCCGAGTAATAGAGTTATAGAGTCACAGAGTTATAGTTATAGCACTTGCTGAATGCAGTGGTGAGAATACTGCACTCCCTGACAGCTGATTCCAGGCTCCCACTGTGAGGTGCCAGGACGATGAGTCGAGAGGAGACGGTGGTCCCAGGCCTCTGTCCCTGGCTCGTAGGTGACATCTTTTGTCTCCCTCTCCTCTTCTCTGCATGTCTCTGTGCACAGATTTCCCCTTTTAGAAGGACGCTGTCATACTGGATTAGAACCCATCCTAATTTAATTGATTGAGGTGCACACCCTTATTTTAACTTATCACTCTGTAAAAATCCTGTTTCTAAATGAGTCACATTCTAAGGCACCAAGGGTGAGGACTCTAACATGTTTTGCAGGGGAGGGGACACAGTTGAACCCAGAAGAGCCTCCACTGGAACCTCACTCACCAGCTTTGGGGCTGTGCAGTTTTTCTGCCGTAGGGACTCCCATATTTCCCTGAGAGCAGGGCTTCCAATATCACAGGGGGAAAGGCGATGTACAGGCTTGTCCTTCCACGAGCCGCAGTGGGTCTTGACTTTTCTCAAATGACCACACATGTGAAGCCCGGCCCGTTTCTGAACTCACAGTGGTGCAGATCCAAAGCCCAGGCCCACAGGGCTGCTTCTCTGCTGAGGGTCTTAAGGCCTGAAGTCAAGGTCTCTGCTGGACTGAATTTCCATTGCGAGCTCAAGTCTCCTTCCAGACTCATTCTGCTGTTGGCCAAATTCAGATCCTTGCAGTGGGAGGACTGAGGTCTGTTCCTTGCTGGCTATTAGCTGGGGGCTGCTCCCAGCTCTAGGTGCTGCCCACATTCCTTGCCATGCGGTCCCCTCCATCCTTGCAGCCAGCAATGGAGAATGTTTTGCTGAATCCTTCTCACTTCACAGTTCTCTTTTTTCCATGACTGGCTGGAGATAATCACTGCTTTTAATGGGCTCACCAACTTGGTCAGCCCCACCACCTTGGATCCCCTCCCTTCTGCCATAGGATGTAACCGTCCCAGGAGCAACAGATCATCTTGGTCACAGGTTCCGCCCATACTTGGGGGCTATGCAGGGTGTGTCACACTAGGGGGGTGGAAACCAGGAGCCCTTTGAGGACCCTGCCTACCACAGGGAGCACATGGCTCATCTGCCATCAGAGGCTAGGATTATGAAGGGGCATTTTCTGCCTTTTTCACTATTTTCCAGGGGACGCGCTACTGGACAGTGGTATCAGAATCAGCTCTGTGTTCGCCTCCCCAGCCCTCCGCTGTGTGCAGACGGCCAAACTCATCCTGGAAGGTCAGTGAGAACCTCGGTGAGCTTCTCCTACTGCCTTGACCTTGTGGCTATTCTCCAAGGGGAAGTGGGAAGGGAGTGGAGGTGGAATTGGATGACTGGCAATGAATGCCCACACCAAAGTCATCAGGCAGGTATGAGCCAGCCCTCCAAGGATGCTGGCAGGCATGCTGAGTCCATGAGCGTGTCTGGAATACTAGGACCGTCAGACCAGTAGGGGCTGGTGTAGCTGAATGCCAGGGCCTGTCCTCACACTGTTTCTCTTTGGCCTCCATCAGCTAGACATTTTAAAAATACACCTGGAAAGGAGCATTCAGAAACCTTCAGAGCTGGGAACAGCTGCTATGGTTCCTTCTAAGTCTGAAATGCATGACCTTTCCCAGGGCAATGCACTGCACCAGTGGAGCTGTCCAGCATCCTCAAGGGCTGATATGTGTCAGGAAGCCCTGGGCAGACCCTTCTGCAGCTCCCATCTACGGGAAGAAGAAAGTTTCTGCCCAGAGGAGAGCAGCCTGTCCCAGAGGCCTGAGCTCTGCCTTCAGCCTGAACCCTGTCCTGCTCCTCTTTGTCTGGGAAGAGGGATGAGATCTCGGTCCCCAGGCAGGGACTGGCTGTGGCCAGGAGCGCGGGTGACATGGGAGAGGGCATGTGACCTCCATGGTGACAGGGGAGAGGACAGAGCACACAGATGCAGATGCAGCAGGAGGGCAAATGTCAGGGACAGGGCTTGCCTCGACTTTCTCAGAGACCTAGGAATTCGGGCCACCAGCAGAAAGTGGGGGCAGGGACTGTGGGAAGTTTGGAGTGTGCTAAAAGTATGAATGGCTGTCAGGGAGAGGGGGCCCAGGTCCTGGGAGATGCAGGGTGACCGCTGGGCAGCACTCAGAGCCCACTCACAGTTTGTGAGCATGAGCTTAAATGGAGATGCGTTAGCCGGACTAGGGGGGCCTCTTCCAGCTTAGACCGGGAGTGGGTGGAGAGTGGGATGCAGCTAAGAGTGGGGTTGAGCTGTGAGTACAGTGGAGCCAGAGGGGACGGGAAGACTTGAGGGCATAGTGAGGGGGTGACCGTGCCCATGGACTTCTAGCTGGGTCAGCTAGGAGGCCGAGCACGGGGGAGGTGAGTGCAGGAGAAAGGAGGTGATCCGAGTGAGGGTCAAGATCCACGAGGGGGGCTGTTTGGAGACAGCAGAGTTTGGCACTGCACCATGGCAGGGCTGCCGTGGCTGGAATGACAAGTCCCAGGTGGAAGGAATGGGTGCTCAAGGCAGAGAGGAAGCTGTGTCCTGCAGGAAAGGGGCAGGAATGGAGGGGCCATGGAGGAGCCATCCCGCAGATGGTGGTCTTGCTGGCGCTTGCACATGGGGCCACATCAGAGCTAGGGTCACAACTGGTAGGAGCTGTTGGGACAGTAGTGCATCCATCGCACACGTGTGCATTGCCAGTTCCCATGTCCTCAGATCCCCTCTACCCCATCAGAGAGGCTCCCTCAAAGCACCTTCAAATCCAGGTGCCCAGGAAGCCGTGGCCAGGAGCGGACCTGACTCCACCCACAGAGCCTCTCAGGCTCATCATTCCTGTCCTGTGCTCTCCTGAACCTTCCATCCCATAATCCAGTCCTAGTTTCAGGAGGCACAGAAATCCATTTTATCAGCATGGAGCACCATGATCCACCTTCCACGCACTTAAAAATGTCGAGACACTTTCTGCCCACCTCAGTCTTGCAGCTTCATCCTTTCATTTTCCTCCCAATTGTGGCACAGGACCCCAGCCCCCTGCACAGCATCTCAGATCACAAGACAGAAATGCAGATTTATTTCACTTTGCCTTGGAGGTTCCCATGTTAATTGCATCGCCGCCCCTCTGGGCTCTCAATGAGCCGGATGAAGACCAAAGAACAATATCAGCTTATTGGACCAAACCACGAAAGGATTCAGGAATCCCCAAAGGTCTGACGGCAGTGTAGCCGGAGGCCAGAGGCAGCTCCACCAGGAGGGCAAGCAAGGCCTCCACAATCCTTGTCCCTCCTCACAATGCTTGCATGCACATACACATACCACACACCACACACACACCACACACACACCACACGCCACACATACACGCCACACACACCACACGCCATACACACACACCACACACACCACACACACACCACACACCACACACACCACATGCCATACACACACACCACACACACCACACACACACCACACACCACACACACCACA